AAGAAGAAGAAGAAGAAGAAGAAGAAGAAGAAGAAGAAGAAGAAGAACAGGAGGAGGAGAAAGGGTCTCCCTAGGCATAAGCATTAGCAGCTAGAAGAATTCATTACTAGCTTATCAGAGAAACAGATATTTTAACCTGTAATATGTAACCTGGAAAAAAAGAAATTGAAAAATATCAGAGAGACCCCACCTTAATGAACTCAGTAGTAACAGAAGGCTTGAGGGTTCTTATCTCAGTTCCCAGAATTCTGCACTCTAATCCCTAATTTGTGGCATTAAAACTCATTTAAGTCCATGTGAATCTTGCTTCCCTGCTTTTGCTCTTTAGTCATCCGTCTTGACATTTAGCTATTACAGATAACCCATGCAGCAAAGCTGAACCTAGAACATTCGTTTACTGACTTTCCCATGATCAGGCCTATGGTTCAAGGTTTTTAAAGAAGTTGAGACAAATCTCAGCATGGTTTAGCACAGGAGTCAGCAACCCGCGGCTGTGGAGCTGCATATGGCTCTTTCATCCCTCTGCTGTGGCTCCCTGTCACTCAAAATATGCGTTACAGCCGCCAATGTGTGATACCCACCAGTACGCGATTTATTGAGCTTTTCAACCCCCCAGTAGACCAACCATGGATAAATCCAAGAAAAGAAAAGTTTCAGAAGAAAACAGAACGTTTAATTCAACTACATATGCTAGTTCTGTGGCCTCTCAGGAAATAGTCAGGCACAGGAAGGGTTTTGTGGCTCCTGGTGCTTTCTTTTCTGTGGGAAACGGGTCCAAATGGCTCTTTGAGTTTTTAAGGTTGCTGACCCCTGGTTTAGCATATTCTGTCAAAATAGTTCTTTCTGTGTGTCATTTTTCCAATTAAAAACAAATCCCAAATATTACTAGGACATCAGGTTAGAAACTGGGAGACTAGAAGCTTTAGTTCTGCCTTAGGCACAAAGCAGGTTGGGTTACCTTGGGCCAGTCACTTTCTCTCAGCCCTGCGAAGAGGGCAATGGCAAACCATTTCTGAAATTTTGCCAAGGAAACTACAGAGACTTGCCTAAACAGTTTCCAGGAATCAAGATAGACTTTAAGGCACACGCACGCTAGCAAAGTTACTATGATTTAGCTAGAAAGGTGAACTTCAGTCTAAATTCATTTGCCTTTACACCATGCCTACTATAGTATTTTTTTTCCTCGGGCTCTAATTTTCTTCCTAGCAAATTCTCCATCTCTTTCTCTGGCATTATCCAG